AACCCTCTCCTTAGTACCCTCAGGCTATTTTACGCCAATCCCTTTGTCCCTGTGTGTGTGTGTCCCATGCAATGGACTAGTGTGGACTAGTGTGCCATCCTGGGTGTATATTGTTTCCAAGACAGCCTCCTCCACAAACCCTGACCCAAGAAAAAGCAACCTGAAGCTCAGTTTTACTGGGGGGGCATCACACGCCAACTTAATCAGATCACGTTGAACCTTTTCTGTTGCTGATGGAATTTGGCCATGAGAGTGCATTACCTTTAAAACATCGACCCTATTTGTTTTAGACAAAGTGAGAGCCAATTTACCTTCGCATGTGTGGTAATAACATTAGAAATACAGTATTAAACTAATGTTGAATCCTTCCCCCCCCCCCCCCATCTTGGTTTTAGAAACCCAAGGGTTTGCATGTTTTTGTGTCATTACCATTTGCAGATTTGCCTACAGCCCTGGTATTATTGTCTGTGTAGTAGCTGATAGTTTGTACCGAAGCACATCTACTTAGAAATCGATGGGGATGTGTAGAACTATGTCCACTAGCTACTGCAGAAAGTCAAGCTGATGTTTCACGATAACAGCGCATGCACTCTCTCCTCAGATCACAGCTTCAGGGCTTTTGTTTGCAAGCTGTTTTGCTCAGTAGACGTGCACACACCTTCCAGTTCTATCACCATGCTTCCAGCTGCAAAAGAGAGCACAGTGCCAAAGAGTCTGCTGTTAGGTTTGAATCATTTTTTTTTTCAAAAACCTTTTCCCTGGTTCAAAGGCAGGTGGTGCACCATATGGGTGGAAGGATTATGTTGTATTAAAGAAAGTAACGTCTCTTTGACAAACCAGTAGTTCCGTTCAGGTCTTAAAGGTGGGGAATTATGAGGGTAGAAGCTGGAACACTTTTTATTTTATTTTAAGGTATTAAGAGCTAATTCAACATCCTGCACCACAGATCCACAGATCGGTTTTAGCTTTTATGACTTCTCTTTTATCTTTAGGACGTTTTGCACACCTGTAGCTTCTTCGATAAGCAGGCCTCTGCTTTTCCGGTTACTTGAGGTGAATTTGGAAAAATGGATATGGATATGGACATGAAGGAAGCTCAGCGCCAGTTAGGAAATAGTTAAAATTATAATTCACTGGGCGGCTCAGTGGCGGAGTGGTGAGCATACCTGTCCTGCAGTGTGGGGCCCTGGGTTCACTTCTTGGAGTGATATCTGTGTGGAGTTTGCATGTTCTCCGCATGTTCGAGTGGGTTTCCTCCAGGTGCTCCAGTGTCCTCCCACAGTCCGATGACATGCTGGAAAGTGAGCTGGCTTCTGGGAAAATATGCCCCTGGTGTGAGTGTGTGTGAGTATGTGTGTTTCTGCCCTGCAATGGACTGGTGGCCCGTCCAGGGTGTCTTGTACCCCTTGCATGTCAGGATAGGCTCTGGCTCCACCACAACCCTCTATTGGTTAGTGTTTAGAAAATTGAGGCTGGATGTAATTCATTAAATGTCCCTTCCCCTGTGGGTCTGAAGGGTGACTGCATGTCCTCCTGTGGACATTCTGACCTTGTGGCCTTCGAGGGAAAGGAGAAATAGGCTCTACTGTGTCTCCTCACTGGATGACACTGTAGAGCAGGGTTTTACCCTTTCCAATCCATTCCATTGCTACAAAAAAGTCTATATTATTAAATCAATTGATCCGTTATTTGTTGTCAGTCCACACTGGTTACATTGAGCTAATATGGGGCAGTATGGAGGGCCAGTGAGAACCGTAATACCAGATTGAATAGGGGCGCCATTTCCCACAATGCAGTGCATCCAAAACCTTTGCCCCATCTCTCGTTGTGACTTTTTAAACAAACGGGTTGGGCGTTTGTAGGGCAGGCGACCCTGAAGAACCCTATCTGACCTTGGGTGTAGGCAGGGGGACAGCAACGAGCGCATTCCTAAGCGATGACATGCGCGGGGGAGGCGGAGACCTAAATTGGCCGTCTGGATGTATTTCTAAAATGCTCCTTTTCTCCCAGCGTATCAGGTGACTGGCGTCAGTTGTCCCGTCACTAGTGGAGTGGAAGCATTTAAGTGACTCATTGGCGTGGCCCTTTTGTTAACACTGTGACCGCTTAAGAGGTTCTGTGTTCGAGATTTGCACTACGTCAGACACCTTTTCCGTTGGTGCAACCACGTATGTTGCTAGGCCAGCAGAATATCACATAACATAAAGCATATTAATTTCCAGAATCACTACGTTTCTCCTTTTACCCCTTCTTATTCCACTCTCTCACCATCACAAACAGTTTCGTTAACAACCCGGTTGTCAAGGAACTCCCTTAATATCATTGACCAGTCGTCTTCTCCTTGTTAGGAGATGTGGGGGAAGTTCACACTCAAGTGACGAATTTCTCGTAGCTCTTTCTTAAAATCCAGAAACCTGTTTCACCTGCAGCTTGACTCAGTGGGTGGCAGAATCAGACTGCTTTTCAAGTCTTTCACTCCATGGATGTGTACAAATGTGCACAATGTGTGCTGTGTGTTATAGTGTACTCATTTACCAATCAGACATGTGGGAAGCCTTTTCAACTTTGAAACTGCGAGTTTAAAAACGTTTTCAACATTTGGAAGACTCTTGAAAACTGCAATTTATTTGGAGCATAAAAAAGTGAAAGGAAACCTATAATCCAGAATAATAAAATAATAAGGTACAATCATTTATAATTATTGATACAATTTTAATGACAAGCCAATTAAGCAATTAAGGTCAATGAACTGGTCATTGGGGTAGGATTTGTGCATTGGCAAAACGTGTTCTATATGTTCTACAGGTAGCAATATTAATTAATACTAATGATTAAATATTGTGCATTTATTGTTACATTTTTTATTTATTTTTTAAAAAAAAGTTAACAATATGTGCTAAGCAGTGCACATTTATCACATTCACAAAGAAATCCAACATGCTGAAAACTGATAGTCTCTCAGTGCAATCTCTGCAAGTACTTAATATGTTCTTGTTTTTGGAAATCATTCCTCTGTCTTGTGGTAACATCATGCTGCTGTAAGGGTGCTACAGTAGCTTGATTGGAGCATGCTACTGCTCCAGTCTGCTCTCATTCCTAAAGGTTCCACGGTTGAGTGCTGTGACTTTGAATCACCTTTTAGGCTTCTGGTGATACTGGGTGTGGATTCAATAGAATACCATTTCGGTTGGCTGGTTTCAGTTCATTTCAGCCAGAGAAGGAAGAGTTACAGACAAAAGGAGATTATCCATTTCAATTGTTTTGGTGGTTAATAACTTGTTGATCCGAGAATCTCTTCCTGCATTTACTTCAAAGGCCTCAATTTCAACAAGATAACTCTATGGGCTACTTCATATACTGGCACCCTCCCAGCATTAAATCATATTCTGGTGGGAATAGAGAGTGTATTAAATTATTTTTGTAGGTGTGGAGAGTGTCTCATCTGTCTTAAATAATTTCAGGGGGGTAGAGAGTGGTCTTGCTTATTAAATTGTTTCCGTTGAAGTGTGCTTCCTGTATGAAATCATTTCTGATGGTGTATAGAGTGTCATACCAGTATTAAATCATTTCAGGTGGAGTGGAGAGAGAGAGTGTCTTAATTATCCTCATGGGGCAGGTTGTTTAACAGCAGCAGACAATATAAAGCAAACACGCAAACACATAAACGTGGTTTAAACATAAACCGGTATGGCCGCAGTTATAAATGAAAACCTGAAGCTGTTTGTTTTTAAATGGGGAAATTGGTATCTGTGATTTGAGGAGTAACTGGAAATCATTAAACAAAGGGTGTTACTCAAGACTCGTGACTGATACAGGTGGGGCAGACTAAAAAATTCACCACTGCTGACTTTCTGATGTACTCGGACAATGTTCGCCAATTTGTTTTTACTCCTCAGATTCTGATTCCCAAACCGGCAGATCAGGGCAAAAAAGAGTGTCTCTCCCATATGAAATAATTTCGTGATCGTGATCTAGAGATTACTCCAAAATGGAACAGCCCTTTCTCCCAGCTGTTGTCACCTGCTCTGTCACAAATAGGGGTTCTCAGACTCTTAGGGTACAAGGTGATGAGCTTTTAAAGGGGAACGGCAGTCCCAATATCTCAGACTGCTTATTGAATCTAGGTAACAAAATAAATTTGTCGATGGCATAGAACAAAATTACGAAATTCGGAATAAAGCACAAAATCCTGAACTTTGTGAAAGTACTGTATGGTCTCCATTTTGTCACAGACCGCTGGGAGTGAGAGTTTGTGATAATTGTGACGACATACAGCCCTTCTTGCCCACTAGTCACTGTAATAACTAAAGTGATGTGTGAGTGAGAAAGTACAGATGCAACAGAGTTTTCACCATAATTCGCCATAGAAATGTTCCAATGTGATCTACATGCTGAGTTAACAAGTATGTAGTACTTGTGGGCAAAACCGTCTCGAAGTCAAGAGCAATATTTCTATTGGATTAAAAGAAATGGATTCACAATCCTGCTTCTTTACAATGTTTAACCAATGTTAAGGCCGCATCACCTCACCGGAAGCTTTGCTGCCTCCTCCTGAATCACAGAATATTGCACTACCCTGCACACACTTTTGTTTATTTTGTGATGGAAATTGGAGTTTTTACATGTTAATGTGAACATTTTACTCTTATTGTTGTTTGAAATGCGCTCAACAGTGCTGATTCTCAAAATAGTGTAACGCAACGGGGGTTCAGGCGGGCACCCTTGCCGCATTAGGTCGGCCCTGCACCGTCGGGGGGCTCGAACCCGGGACTCCTGCGTCACTCAGCAGGGACCCAGCTTGTTGAGCTAAAGTGAGATCTCTCTACAGCCCAGTGGCTGTGGTCCTGCTATCACAGGGAAGGGCGGTGACGTCACCTGCTCTGGTAAGCCGGCTCTTACACAGTGCCTGTCGACCCACCTGAACCCCCTGTTGCAGCTTCCCTGTAACAGAGCTAACAGGTGGCTGCTTTTCTCATCGCGCTGTCCCCCCATTCCCCCAGGCCGCTCGCGCGCCGCGTTCCTGGAGCCGCCCACCTCCGACAGCGTGATCACCGCCCTGCAGGAGGAGGTGGCACGACTGCCCTGCCGGTTCGAGCCGGCCGCCGAAGAGGTGGTCCAGCACGTCACCTGGTTCAAAGAGGTCACCGACAAAGACGGCAAGACCACGCGGGAGCAGATGATCCTGGCGCACGTCTCGTACGGAGAGACGGGTAAGGCAGGCGGCGCTGTGCCCGCTGTTCTCGCACGCTAATTCCTGCCGGACTACATCCCGGGTGTGGTGGCGAGCATCGCTGCCTCTCCCCGCTGGGGCCCTGGGTTCGACTCCCCGGGGTGTGTGGGGTTTGTGGTTCCTCCCCGGGTTCACATGAGTTTCCCCCCACAGTCCAAAGACGTCCTGGTGGGTTAACTGGCTTCTGGGAAAATTAGCCCTGGTGTGAGTGTGTCTGTGTCTGTGTGCCCTGCCATGGACTGGCGTCCCGTCCAGGGTGTACCCTGCCTGGTGCCCATGGCTTGCTGGGATAGGCTACGGCTTCCCCGCGATTGCTCAAGCAATTAGAACATAGATAGATGGATGGTTTAGTTCCAATAGTTGTAAAAGATATGCATTAGTAGTTCAAGTACAGTAGGTAGCTGCCCCAGCATGCGTAGGCTGCAAAGGAAGAAAGGAAACACAATATTTCGGGTGTGGAGCCTTCTTCAGGTGTGAGGGAGAGATGCTCACACCCGAAGAAGGCTCCACACCTGAAATGTTGTGTTTCCTTTCTTCTCTTTCCAGCATGGAATAAACCTGTTACTTGTTCCTTTGCAAAGATACGCGTTGACTGTTAATGACCAGGTGAAGGTTTTTTCAATGCTGAAAGGAACAGAAAAGAGACATGATGTTTCAGCTGTGGAGCCTTCTTCAGGTGTGAGGGAGAGAGGGAAACTGATCGAGCATGGGAGAACAATAGACAGGGTAGCCGGAGAGGAGGCGGGGAGCAGGAGGGAAGGAGTATCGACACTCAGAACTGGAAATGAGGTGTGGATTCAAAATGAATAGAGAGGATTAGAAGGAGAGGAGTCTGTCTTTGAGAGAAGGGAGAAGGTATGATCCTAGTTTCAGGGATAATTGTGGTTTCGGCCTTTAGTGTTTTCATGGACTGTGATTGATTTGAGAGACTTAGACTGCCACCCACGTGACATTGAAAGCTAAAGTCCCTGTCTTCCGTTTCAGAGTTTGACAACTTCAAGGGGAGGGTGGCTTTCGAGACCAAGACGCCGACCAGCGACGCCGCCCTCTTGATAAAATCGTCCCAGCTGAGCGACACTGGGGGGTATGTGTGCCTGGTGGGCACGTTCCCCTCGGGCAGTTTCGAGATCTCCATGGAGCTGGTGGTGTGGAGTGAGTAGAGTTCTCTTTCCCTTTGAATTAGCAGAGTGGCGCAGCAGAGGCATGCTGGGCCCATAACCCAGAGATCAATGGATCAAAACCATTGAGTGGTGGCACTGTGGCTAAGGATCTGCACCTGTGGTTGGAAAGTTGCTGGCTCAAATCCCACAGCCGGCAGGGGAATCCTACTCCATTGGGCCCCTGAGCGAGGCCCTTCACCCCATCTCCTCCAGGGGTGCTATATAAATGGTTGACCCTGTGTTCTGACCCCAAGGTTCTCTCTCCCTGTCTGTGTGTCTCCTGGAGAGCAAGCTGGGGTATGTGAAAATATCAATTCCTAATGCAAGAAGTTCTATCTGGCCAATAAAGTGATTTTATCTTATCTGGAAAGCTTTCCTACTGCCTTATCTGAGAAGGGGGTGGGGATGAAGAGGGTTTTCAAAATATCCCTCATTTTCTGTTCATTGGTAAATCTACCTGCATGTCAGGTATTAGTTAGGTGTTAATACGGAAAAGTTCTGTGCCTGTAAATAATAATAATATCTAATAATTGCTAAGATTTTTCTCTGGCTTACCTCCTTAGTTGTTTAGGACTTTACTTTTCTTCCTCGTGATGTGCCCAAGCATATTTCTCTGAAGATTGGATTTGTCTCGGCAATGGCTGATTGCCCGGATGATGTTTAACTGTGTGAAATCCAGAAGTCCCCTCTGCTGCAGTTACAGTATCCTCTGTTTTGCTGCCAGATTTGAACAAAATATTGGTTGAGGAACTCTCTCCTCGAATTGCCTTTTTGTGTTTGTCCGAGTCAACTTGAGCTTGCAAGTCAAGGACAGCTTTATTTGCCACGGAGACAGAAGTACCAGGCTTGCACACCAGACGTTCAGCTTCCCAGTCTTCTCTGCCATTTCAAAAACACTGAGATTTAGCTCTGCTGTGAATTTTCACTTTCTCTTTGGCATTGTGTTTGAGGGTAGGAAAACGGGAAACAAAATAGGGAATTTCAAGGGGGATGCTTCTGCACTGCACAGACCGAGTAAAGACACTGATATTGGTGCCCGATTTCACTCTCTCATGACATAATCATACACGTACAGGACTAAAACTGCACAATGACCGTAGAGAAGTTAAGAAAATTCTCTGTCTCTCTTTCTAACCTGCTCATCTACTATCCTTAAAACTTTTGTTAATTATATTCTTCATGGGGTTGAAATCCTGGACATTTTAGGCTATTTCAAAATTCCCCTCGGACGGAGATATAAAGATCAAAATAGAGGACATGTCTGGGAAAATCCAGATGTATGGTAACCCTAAATAAATGTTGTTTTGTACACCTCCCCCCCGGAAGGTCAAAAGTGTACAGCGCTTGGATCTTGGATCAGCGCTTGGATCAGGCAAACACGTTCCAAGAAATCAAGGAGAGATTCTGTTTAAATGACAAAAGAGAACAACAAACGTTCCTCACATCCGTGTGCCACAAAGTGCATAATGATCCAGGAGAGGAGTGTTATCCATCACCATCCCTCTCTGTGATTCCTGTTGCATCATTATCGCCACCAAAAGCTTCTGTTTCTTGTACTTTGTTCCTAATACCCCTGGCATTTACGTATAAGCACTTAATCACCTCATTCTCTCACATCTTGTTTTTTTCCCTTGGGTTCTCTTTCGGATTCTAATCCCCGTGTGTGTGTTGCTTTTGGATTTTCTGGGGGAATTCTCCCTTCTTTCTTCCATTCCAGTTGACAGGCATTGGAATCGCTCTTTAGATCACGGGTTGGGAGGCAGAGCAGCACAGCGGGGATGTCTCTGGTCTAAGCACGGGCGGGTTGTGGGTTCGAGTCCATTCTGCAGACGCTGTTGTTGCGCCTTGAGTGAGTGTACCCCAGTTGCTCCAGTCCACAACTGGGGCACCAACAGTGCTGGGGGGAAGGGGGTTACCTCCAGGGGAGGGAGCTGTGTTCTCTATAGTCTAGTTAACGTCATGGAAACCCAGGTGAGATGTGGACCAACAGGCCATTCTGGCTTGAATAAGAAGCTACCTATCTCAATCCTTACCCTGCGTCAGCAGGTGCTCATCCCATTTGGATGTAATCCATTGCATCTGCGCAGACATCCTGGACCACAGAAAGGCTCCTTGAGGCCAAGAAAGCTGAGGTCATGTGTCAAATGGGTTGTGTTGTCTTATACTTGAGATAGCAGTATCTCGATTTGTTAAAGTGCTAGCTGACAGGGCTCTAGAGTGGCTCCCGGAATCTGCAAGATGGACGTTACCAGCTCGAATCCAGATCGAATCACTCAAAGCATGTAAGATTTGACAGAGCCCTGCTATTCAGCAGGATACCTGCCTCCCCTCTGCCAGACGGGCACATAGTCTGGGCTCCCGTGATGATGATGATAATAATAGTAATAATAATTCCTTACACTTATATAGTACTTTTCTGGACAACACCCCTACTCTTTTCGAGAAGCGCCCTGGGATTTTTAACAACCACAGAGGTCAGGACCTCAGTTTTACATCTCATCCGTAGGACAGCATCTTTTTACAGTATAGTGTCCCTGTCACTATACTGGGGCATCAGCACCCACATAGACCTCAGGGTGAGCGTCCCCTACTGGCCCCACTAACACCTCTTCCAGCAGCAGCCTCAGCTTTCCCAGGAGTCTCCCATCCAGGTACTGACCAGGCTCACACCTGCTGAGCTCCAGTGGGGCTGCCAGCTGGGAGCTGCAGGGTGATAGGACTGCTGGAGTGATCCAGGACTCTGTTCCTGGAGAGCTCCCAGACTGACCTTGTTGTTAGCTCCAAGACGAGACCCGTTTCTTACACGGGTGGGTTGGAAGCATTGTGGAGGTGTAACGTGAGAGCGCGCCATTGTGGCCAGCGGTTTCTTGTTTTATTTCAAAATAAGAGAGAGGCTGACTGCCCCTGCTATTCGATGAGGTGTGAAACCTGCAATGTCAACGAGTTACAAAGACACATCTGTCACTGGTGTCTTTGTCGAAGATGCTAGAGAACCCCCCACCCCCCAGGGCGTTGTTTCGGGTGGGGGGTGGTCCATTGCTAACCCTGGGAAAGAGACGGAAAAAACAAATCCCAAGAGGTTGTCGTTCTTCCAGTTTGTCAGATGATGAGGTCATTCCGGCCTTCCTATTAAGAATGTTCATTTTTTTTTCACGGACAGAGATACTGAAAAGCACCCCCGTGCCCTGCAGAGTACGTCTTTGTACTTTAAGCAGTCGTTTAACTAGTTAAAAGCTCGGCAAAATAGTTAAAAACTAGGTATTGGCACAACACAATGCCTCAGCATCTCTCATTTTCTATCTGAGCCTTGTGATCTTTAACATGTCTGTATTTATTTTAAACATAGGTAGAAAAGAATGTTTTCCTTACTAGTACTAAGAGAGGGGATTTATTTTTCTTTTTCTTTCTTTAAATGGTTTAGTTTTGCCTGAAACCCCTGTAGCTGAGACATGCGGCTTTTTCTCCAAGTCGTCTTGCTGGGAATTCTTTACAAGGATGAAGAAGCCAGACAGCCAAACAACAGGAAGTTGAGCTGAAGGCAACTGCAGTCTGAGCATTCACTTCCTGCTCGTTTTTGTTTTGTTTTTTTCTGGCTCCTCGTGTCATGCCCCACTAACCAGTTTTCACACAGTTCACCCCTTTTTAACCTTTCGCTCGCAAGTCTTTTGAAAACTCTTTTATTCTCTTTTATTCATTTTCCCCACTGAATGTGGCTGCTCTTGTTCCAGAGCTCATGATGTAGGAATTCTGGATGTGAAAGCTTACTTGTTGTCCTTGGGCCGGCCCGTTTGGGCCTCACCGAGAGTGTATTAATGGCATCGAGGGATTGCTCGTCTCCACGGTGATACACCTGCGCCGCGCAGGAGGATGTGGCGCTGAGCAGAGGCCGAACTCTGCCCCCTGGGTTTGATTCGGTTACTGCACCTTTGTCCGAGAGTGTGCAGCGGTTGCCTGCTGGTTGCGCTTGGAGCCCGCGCACCTGGGATTCTGGGATACCGAAGGCTCAGCGAGGAAGTGTTACCCTCTTGACAAGATGCCAGCTGACATTAATTTTTTTTTTCTCTTTTGACACACCTTTAAGACAGGAACGCTTAGAGAAAACACCAGATGTCCTCAGAGTGTCTTAGGAAGGCCTCCAAAAGTCTTCATCTTAATTCTTAGTGAAGTGGGACATGTATATATCTCACTTATCCAGCATCAAAGTATCACCACTTAAGCACATTGTGAGAGCTGTTGATGGGGTCTGTTAATTTAGCCTCAAAGGAAATTTACAGTAAAGCTGACTTGCTTTAGCAGCCCCAGTGGCTTAACGCTACCAATGTCTGCTGCATATCAAAGGACAGAACCTAGATCAAGAACAGGACAAAAAGTAATTACATATCAAAGAACAGGACAAGCACTCAGATTGTGAAACAAACTTTCTCCTTACTGTATATAAGAGCTGAGAAACCCTTTGAGGATTGTCTGATCTGCGGTGCAGAACCAACACACATTAATGTCATTACTGAGCTCAATTAAACATCTGAATCCACGCAAGACTGTCCTGCTCCTTTGATGAAGGATTTCCCACAACATTAGGTTTGTCGTCAGGGTTGCAGAGAAAATGATTCCTTGTACCTAAGAGGTGTTCTCCTTCTTTTTTATGTCCCAGTCTCTCCCATCTCCAGCCTGGACCCCGTTTCCCCTCCCCTGGTTGAAGGCCAGGGCTTCAACGTAGCGGCCATTTGCAAGTCCTGGGGCTACCCCACGCCCACCATCGCCTGGGAGACGGAGCTCAACGGCACGCCCCAGACCACCCCCAGCGAGGGAGGGAAAGTGTCCAGCAAATACTCCCTGCATCCCGTGCGGGCCCTGAACGGGAAGAAACTGGACTGCGTGATCACCCACCCCAGCTTCAGCCAGCCCAGGAGGCTCTCGCACAGGCTGGTCGTCCACTGTGAGTGCTGGGCCGCCCGCGCATGGCGCGAAACTCCGAGCAGCTCGCAGGCACAGTTGGTCTTGCTCTTTTTAAGCTGCTAGGCCTTCTTCAGGTGACGGTTCTTTACGTGCCACTCTTCAAAAACCTAAAATCCGATGTGCTATATGTAGCGGTGCTAGTTCGCGTAGCAGGGACCTCCTTTAGCTCACTCGGCTGGTTCCCTGTTGCGTTATACTGGAGACCAGGGTTTGCGCCCCAGGTGCTGCGGGACGGAACGGGTGGCGGAGGGCACGTCACCGCGCAGAACCTCGACAGTCACATATACATAGGAGGGACAACGCTGCAAAGCCATAGATAGGTAGAAAAAGAAATATGGCAGGGTACATGGTGTAGAAGCCAACAGCTCTATCACCCTGCTGCTCTCAACTGGCAACCCACTGGAGCTCAGCAGGTGTGAGCCAGGCCAGTACCTGGATTGGAGACTCCTGGGAAGCTTTGATTGCTGCTGGGAGTGGTGTTAGTGGGACCAGCAGGGGGCTCCCACCCTGCAGTCTGTGTGGGTCCTAATGCCCCAGTATAGTGGCGGGGACACTATACTGTAGTGGGCGCCATATTTCGGATGAGACGTTAAACCGAGGTCCTGACTCTCAGTGGTCATTAAAGATCTCTGGGCATCTCTCGATAAGAGTAGAGAGATATTCCGGTGTCCGGGCCAAATTCCCCCCCTTGGCCTTTACTTGTGGTCTCCAAGGTGTCCCCATGTATGACTGGCTTGCACCTGCCCTGCGATGGACTGGTGCACCATCCAGGGTGTACCCTGCCTTGCGCTCGTTGCTTGCCAGGTAGGCTCCAGCTTCCCGCGACACCGTATGGTATAAAGCGGTTTGGCAGATGACCTGACATTGTGTGGAATATAACACAAAGGTGCCGACTGTAAAGGCATGTGGAGAAATAAGCTGTTTTTCAGAAAAAAAACAGGGTGGTGTCTCTACAAAGCTGGTGCTCAGCCTGCTGTCTTGAAGTGGTCTTTCAGAAACTAGGGAAAGGCTTCCACTGCATACGATACAGTAGCACGCAAATCAATACTCGTACTCAGACAGTGCTAGTAAAATGTAATGCTTAGTTGGTCTTGCTCTCGATATTGTGGCCATACAAAATACTCCGCTCTGGAATTCAGAACCTTTAACGAAAACACAGGATCTTTGAGCATAACCATAGATCGTCCTGTTATTTCTCGAAGGCAGATTTAATAACGCCAGGGTTAATTTTTGAAACATGTATTACTTTTTGTAGTTACGGCCAGATTGCTTACTTAAAAACCTCAAGACAGAATATGAAGACTCATAGACTGGTTTGGCTTGCCTTGGAATTGAAAATTGGCACATGCTAATTCATGGTTTTCTGTAATTTGTTGTAGCTGGATGCTTTGAAAAACAAAAATGCATATACAGTATTGTTCAGGTCGGGTGGGTGGAGGTAAACATTGGGAATCAGAAAGTCATGAACAGTGTTTTTTTTTCTGCAGAAGGTTCTACATTTTCTGCGTATTTTTGAAGTAAAACAACATGTGAGGAAGTTTCACGCCAGTCGTGTTTGTCATTATCATTATCCCCCCCCCCAGAGGATCTAGGCCATTGTTTTGGAAATGGAGTTTGACAGCCTTAAGGAACCCAACAAGGAAACAGTCACATCTTTGTGGTCGTGTCGCCTCCAGCAGAGTTTACTGGCACCTGTGCATGTGTCATTTCAGAAGATTGACACCTCATTTACATTGCAACAAAAGACTGTTTGTCTGTCTTGTGATAAGACAAAAGGCGTGAAATAGGATTGTTTTTATTGGGCAAGCGCAAAGGCTCAGCTATCAGGTTTCAGGTAGAGAAGAGTTATAATCCTTCAAAGAATTTGTCGAGGATGTGTAAGACGGGACACCAGGTGGACAGAATGGATTTTTATTTCAAGTAACCATTTCTGGTCTAAACTTAATAATAATACATTTCTGGACACTCCACTCAAAGTGCTTTGCAGGTAATGGGGACTCTCCTCCACCCCCACCATTGTGCAGCCCCACCTGGATGATGCTCCAGTACTCTCACCACACACCAGCCCTCAGTGGGGAGGAGCCAGTTCAGAGATTATTAGGAGGCCATGATTGGTAAAGACCAATGGGAAATTGCTAGGACACCAGGGTTAACACAACACCTTTTTACAGTATAGTGTCCCCCTCACTATACTGGGGCATAAGAAACCACACAGACCACAGGGTGAGCGGGTGAAAAGTTCTTATTTGGGGGTTTGAATCAGAATCATTAATTCTGCTGGGCTTCTATTTTTAGTGGCTATTTTTGTTTTAATTATAAATCCAGGATAAAATAGATACAATAACACCTCCCCTTCCAAACCCAATTCCCCATCAGTGCCACCCACTCAACATTCCTGTCAAAAGAAAATCACACCAGACTGGTAGAAGAGCATTAGTCATATGTAACAATCCATATCAAGTCCCACTCCATACCTCCATGGTCACCAGTCATCAGCCCTGGCACCATAAATCATGAGTGATGTCAGGGATGAAAATGGAGAGATCCCCGACAAAGCGCCCACATTTCTCCAAACTGGTGAGCTGGACGAGATTCTGCTGCTGGGAGAGAATTCTACTGGCAGGAGCAAAGCAGCCCTGAGTGTTAAAAAACAGGACAGGCTTGATGACCCCAGCAAATTGCACGCCTAATTAATGATACACAGGAACGCCTGCTTGTCTTTTACACTGGTGGCATCCAGTTCCAGTTTCTTGAGGGAAGTCGATATATCAGTTAAAGCAGATCACCTGGCTCCTTTCAAGAGCTAACTGGGTGAATTGGTCAGTTAGTTACACATGCCCATATGGGCCAGAGAGAGCAAAAAGCCACCCGTCTGTTGTAACTTCCCTTATGTTCCTAATTTAGGAATTCATAAAGAAGTTTTGCTCAACTGCAGTTGTGGATTGACAAGGAGAAACAGCACCTTCCCTGCCCAACAGTGCAATCGAAGTGCAATGGCGATACGATGCACCAAAAGTCAGGGCAACATTTTAATCTCTGAAACAATAAAATGCTGGGAGTCAGCCAAGAGGAACCCAGGGTTAGGCTCAGACACGTGCTTATCTCGCTTGATTAACACGCCTCCATTCTGTGCAACTAAAATCAGATGTTTAGAACAATGACACGTGCTAAAGAGGTCCTGTGTACCTTCAAGGAGATGCAGTATCCATGCCGTGAAATAAACTCAATCAACAGTCAATCCATTCTTTGTTGGAACATTCCTGCATCAGAACCGCTTCTCGTGATGTGCCATTCTGAGTGGTGAAAATTTCTTGCTCACATCCCATAAGCTGTTCTAAGCGTCTTGTCCTTTATTTTTTCCTACTGATGGGACAATAGAAAAGCATTTTTCAGTCTAGCTCTGATGTCAACACCGTTGGATAAATTTTCCCTCTTTGCCTTAAAAGACAGTCAGGAGTCCGTCTCAGAATACTTAAAAGAAGTTTTTATCGCATGCACATGGGAGCGAAGTACACAGAGATGCTCGGTATATTTTTCTGAAAGCGATTAAACTACACCAGCCCTTAAATATTTTTCTGTTATTTGCCAAAGATAACATATTTCAGTACAACTGGTTACTTAGGTTCGTAGCACACATTCCTATATAACACAGTACAGAATGGCATAGCAGCCCTTGTGTGCAGCATTCTTCCATTCCAGTTCAAACCAGTTCTGTAGGTCCACTTTCTAAAAAACTGTCACGTCGGCAGAAAAAGATTGTACAAAGTTCACAAAGACCCTCTCAACAATACTTCTAGTAAACAGGGCTGGATTTTGAAGTTTGTAGGCCCTGGGCACTTTCACTCCGAAATGTGCAAAAAGAGGGGGAAACGCCAATTGAGTTACGTCGATGCACTTTAAACTGTTTGAATGCTAAACCACGTGATTGATGGAGCGAATCGAGCGCCCATCACTTCGATACGTCTAGTTTCTAGAACAGCCGCTAGATGGCATGTGATTGTTGGTTGATGGAGCACCTAGAGTCGATCGCAAGCCTGTTGTTTCAGCTCGGTTCTCGTTAGTCACCAGTGTTTCCCTCTTTCGTAGGCCCTTAAATTCGTAGGCCCTAGGCACTGCGCCTACAGGGCCTCATGGGAAATCCGGCCCTGCTAGTAAAGCAGTCTGTTGTAGACAGGGGATTGTGGGTTACTGGATGACTTGGATGTCTTGAGGATGGTATTGATCCGTGCTCAAGGTCCAGGTGTTGAATCGCACTTGGTCCCCATGAGGACAGAACTTTGATACACTTCAGAATTCTTGTGGTCATACAAGGCAAATACCATTTTGATCGTGCAGCGCACCAGGACCGGGAACAGGAAAACAGAGGGCATGATGGTAACTGGATTTGTGGGTGTCCCTGTTTTCAGATCCTCCTGACGTGTCGGTGAAGGGCTACGATGACAACTGGTACAAGGGTCTGGAGGGCGCGAGACTGACGTGCGCCGCGGGGGGAAACCCCCTTCCTCAGGAGTTCACATGGAGCAGGTAAGCGAACGGTGGGCCGATCTGGTCCCTGTCCCTCTTGGGGTCACCAGCCTATGAGCTGACTGACCCCCGCGGCCCGAGATTCCGAAAAAAAGTTACAGGACATCTCAAAATCCACATGGAATAACATCACCCAATAAGAAAATGCATGTAGAAACGTTTATTGAGGAGTCGGGCATAGGATGTTTGGCTGATTTTGCTTGGCTGAAGGTCAACCACTTTGGCTGGAGAATGAGGAAGTCAGACCCCACCCCCCACGCAGCTTGAGGAGTTGACCAAGGAGTAACTGCTTCTCGGTTTTCGAGGGGGGATTCGGACTTCGAGTAGGGTGAAGGAGACTTTGGTTGCTGTCAACCTTACTGAACGTTTGTTCCAAAAAACGCCATGAAAAAGAAGAACTGTGTCTAGGAAGGCTCCCATAGAACAATATCTTTGGATCTTGTAAAAGAAATTCCTTGGTAAGCACTGCTAAGTACAGTACATGGAGCATGCTGGTATAATGTATCAGTATATCCTCCGTTCTGCACAAGGTTACTTAATTGGCCTGTCTAAACGTAAAGCAAGCAGATTTTGTGACTGAGAGGATTGGGAAGTATGATGCTACAAAATGTGATAGAGTTGCTATCAGAGCTGCTATACCTACTGGCATGGATGGATTGGGTAGAGATGAGCAGGCCTTCAGTTATCCTTATATTCCAGGACAGGCAAACTGTCTACTCCGTTGTGAAAGAATCTGGCCTTTCAAAAGTCCTCCCTAAAATCCATACTCGACGTCACATTCAGGTTTGTAAAAATTTCATAAAACATCGAGGTCCCATAGTGGACATATAGATTGTTCAAAATACCTTAAATATTCTTTCTAGCTACGTTCCCTGTAATTCTCCAGGTGAAGGAGAGCACTGTGTTCATCAGCTGTCTGCTGTGGGCCAGAGCCCAGAAACTCAAGCAGCACAAAACCGAGGGGAATCAGACAGCGGGTGGCCACCAGGGTTGTGAATACTTTAAATGCTTTTCAAAAAGAAGCCCAAAAATGCTCATGAAAAAACAAACAAACAGGAATACGTTCATAAAGGCCTAGCCTGCTGGTTCAACAGCGCAGAGCAGTGACAGGGGCTGGGTGTTCAGAGACACGAGCAGGTTTCACGCGTGTGTGGGTGTGAGAGTTTACAAAACCTGTCTGCGAAGCGGTTTGTTTTTTTTTCCCCCCCTTTGTGCCGACGAAAAGCGTCTGCTGTTGCTGCAGGACGCGCGGCCCCTCCCTGAAAATGGGTTGATGACTTGAGAAAGATTTTTTTTTTTTTATGCAAGCGGTGAAGTAATTAGTATCTTGTTCCAACTTGTTCAACTTTAGCCAGGCAAAGAGGAGAAAAAAAAAACCCCAACAGTTTCTCATGAGAGTGAGGCGAGCTGTCTTGAAGAAAGAAAATACGACTTTGTATTAAAAGGGTGATCTGCGGTGTTTTCTTCCTTTTTGGCTTTGCCTAATGCATATCACAGGCTCTCCGATTACCTGGCTCTGGGGAGGAAATGAACATTTGGCTTATGTCATGGTAAATACTACACCACAATGTAGAAAAACGAAATGTTTGCTGGTACCCACACCTATTTTGAACGCAAGGCCTGCCTTCTTGGCTGACATTCAGCACCAGACTTATTGAGCCCCGAAAAACTGGACCCTACCTCTGTCCCGCAAATACAAACGTTTTGAAAACCTTATAAAAGACCTTATTTGATGACGATAGAGACGTCCGGGTTACCAGGCTGTGCGAGGTGATGGGCTGGCTTGACGCTCTTTGACACAGAGTGCTCTGCTGGATGCGAGAGCAGGGACAAAGATACCTACAGAGTCAGCGGCCTGAGAAGAGAAGCCTGTCAGAACCGTTGACTTTGGAAGGATGGGGCGCTTTCAGGTCTTTAAAACCAAAACCAACTCACTTTGGTTACACTCACACCAGATTTTGGGTGAGGAGATTCTGTATTTTGATTACACGATGCTTGCAAGACCATCCCAAGCTAGACGCCGCAGTAGTTGTTGATTTCCGGAGAAAAAGATAGCAGCTGACCCCTGTTTCATAGGTCCCACCTGATGAGGATGGGACAGTACAGCATCTCAATGCTGGTCCCCTGCGTTTGTGCTTGACTGATGGGATTTACTGTAGGGAGCGGTGCCACTGAACTCCCATCATCAGACGAAGGCAAATCGCCGTATTGGTAGGGCTCTGGGGGGGGGGGACATGCACAGCTCAAAAGCCAGACTTTTGAGTCTGAATACTAGGTATGTCTGCAAACCTAGGGATAACGTCACTAATGGCCTGCGCTGTGGCGTCCCCAAATACCGCTGTACAATTGGCTCGGGGCCAGCAAGGGATTGTCAGCCAGAGTTCCCTCGGCTCACAGTGAACCAGCGCAACCCCCCGCTCATTCTCCGGCGATCTCCTCCCATCGGCACTGAGCATCCCGAAAGTCGCTGCCCACCCTGCAATCGGGATACCAGTCAAATGTTTCCACGAGGCGGGTGGCTTCAGAGGAAACCGTCGGCACTTCCTCATTCTCTCGGCTTACGGCCGCCACTCCCGTCCCCGGGCGCAGGCACAACCAGACGCCATTGGCTACGTTAAGCTGCGGCGGCACGCAACCGCCTAACAGTGTCAGAAATGCCACCCAGGCAGACGGCTGGCCGGCGAGAGGCCGGCGATGTGTTTTGATGGTCTCCGCTTTCCGTAACGGTCTGGCGCTCTCTCCGTCTCCCGCAGGAAGGGCGGGAGCCTCCCCGAGGGCGTGGCCTCCGAGAACAACTCGCTGGTCTTCCGGCGGCCGCTGGAGAGCGACGACGCCGGGGTCTACGTCTGCCAGGCCAGGAACAGGGTGGCGAAGGCGGAGGCGGAGCTGGAAATCAGGGTGGAAGGTGAGGTCGAGCTCTTGCGCGTGCCTGGTCTCCCTTTGTTTATCCGGATCCAGAAGACACGGAGGTTGGCCTCCTACCTCGGTTCATTATAATAATAATTCCTTACTGTGACATAGTGCTTTTCTGGACACTCCACTCAAAGCTCTTTACAACTAATGGGGATCCCCTCCACCACCACCAGTGTGCAGCCCCACCTGGATGGTGCTCCAGTACTCTCCCCACACACCAGCTCTCAGTGGGGAGGAGAGCAGAGTGATGAAGCCAGTTCAGAGAGGGGGATTATTAGGAGGCCATGACTGGTAAGGGCCAGGGGGAAATTTGGGCAGGGTGCCATGGTAACACCCCTACTCTTTTCGAGAAACGCCCTGGGATTTTTGATGACCACAGAGAGTCAGGACCTCGGTTTTACGTCTCATCTGAAAGACGGCGCCTTTTACAGTATAGTGTCCCCGTCACTACACTGGGGCATTAGGACCCACACAGTCCGCAGGGTGAGCGCCCCCCCTTGGTCCCACTAACACCTCTTCCAGCAGCAACCTTAGCTTTCCCAGTAGGTCTCCCATCCAGGTACTGGTCAGGCTCACACCCGCTGAGCTTCAATGGGGCTGCCAGCTGTGAGCTGTGAGCTGCAGGGTGATATGGCTGCTAATCATAACATAGTTTTGCAATCCTTAAAAAGACTATTCTCAGTAGCCAGCAGGCAGGAAGCCCTTATCCTTATGCACTGTTATGGATGTGCATCACTGTACTGCAGGATGAAGTAGGGTATGATCTTGCAAAATCAGTGGCGTTTTATTTCACTCGTTCCTCTGTGTTTGCCAGATTTAGAGCTCTGATGTAGGCACTGCAAACTCCCGCTTTTGAAAGCTTGTTGTTGGTAGGTGTGAAGGAATCGGACTCTGCTCATTCCTGTCTTTGAGTCTCTTGGCATCATTCAGGGTACCAGCATGGAGCCCAATCTCCCCATCAGATAAATGCTGCCCATGGAGGCTCAGTGCCTCAAGAAACGTCTGTATTATAGACGGACAGTATTGTCACATCTACGCGCAAGATACACCCGGCTGCAGACTGATTGTGGGGACGCCGCTTAGAAGACCTATTTACAGTGATCCAGAAGTGCAAAACAAGAATGAGGAGGGCACAAACAGAAAGGTGCACACCATCAAAAATGTGTTCAAAATGGAACTGGGCGCTCACAACGGACGTGACATCTGGGCGGCGCTGAGTGGATGTGCACGTGTTGACTTCGTGATGAGACGGTTCTGTGAACTTCTTAATTAAGAAAGTCTTAATACTCCACCTGACCGCCGTGCAGTTCAGACATAAGAGGGACTTGGATGAAGAACAGGAAGAAATGAAGACATGAGCACCGGCATATCTGCAGGCCCAATCAGAGCTCATCACAGACACGGAATTCGTTCAGAACGTTTTATCCAGTTAATTCGGCTAATTGGCAAAACAAACATCTGGTTTATTGAAGTCTATTGAGTCCGAAACTCTGTTTATTTGTGATTACCATGCATTTTATTTCTGCTTTCCAGTCATTTGTTGAGAAGTAACATGCTGCATGAATGTATGTCTGCCTTTCTTCTTGTCTTTTATCTGATTACAGTTGAAGGAGTGGGGTCACATTTCCTCCTCCTTTGTGTAGTAAAAGATCCGTGACATAGCCACCAGAGGGGATATTCCTGCACTTCAGAAACTAGGAGAAGACAATTCAGGGTCGAAACAGAGAGAGTAGGAGAAAGTGTGGGGCAGAACAGAGGTGGGGGTGGGTGAATTGCCGTCAGTAAAGGAAAGATCCATCAATCCACGTATCGGGTGTCAGGGAGCCATTGTCTGACTTCTGTTAACCCTGATGTGACTGTACATCACTGCTTCCAGCCTGCTATTGTTCGTGTAAAATACAACCAATTTGCTGTACTTGATAACCAGTTTGAACGAGATTAACATGATACCATGCCCCCACCTTGTGAAGCACATGTGAGGAGGTTTATGACAGGGAAATTGCTCCCACTGGTATAAATTATAGCCGGGCCAAATGTGACATTATTGTTTTGGGCCTTCTGTATGTTTTGATAACAGTATCGCTGTCAGCGTGGGGCTGTGGAAAGTAAGGAAACTGGTCCGAAACAGTAAAATTCTTCCAGAAGCCATTTCAAGGGAAAGTTGCACAAAAGTTCCTGGCTAATGAAAGAATGGTTTTCCTGAAGCTCTTCCCAAGTGGAAGGTATCAGAGGAACTGAATCCGTAATGAGGGAGGCACAGTGGTGAAGAGGTTAGCATGGCTGCCTTGCAGCGCTGGGGCCCTGGGTTCACTTCTTGACTTTGGGTGCTATCTGTGTGGAGTTTGCATGTTCTTGCCATGTTCATTTGGGTTTCCTCTTGGTCCTCTAGCTTGCTCCCACGGTCCAAAGTCATGATCAGTTAGAAAATGTTAGGAGGTTAGAAAATGGATGATGGGTTCTGCCACATGCAGTGTCACGCGTTGCTTTTATTTTCTTCATCTCGCCAGCATGAACATAAACATAAGGGCAGCATAAACTGAAGGAGAGAAGCCAGCCACCGGTACTTGACAAGATCCCAATGGTCAGAGCACAGGATAGCGGCCCGTGTTCTCAAAGCTTGACTCTGTCAAAGACGCCAAGTCATGTGCACATCGCCACTTGGGGAAAACCCGGTTGTGGTCAGCCAAACAGGACACAAAGTCCAGAAATGCACGGGCTCAGCCTTCTCTGGGAACAGCAGCTCTTATTATTTCAAATGACCAGGGATACCCCGAATTGGTCTGAAACCAGTTTGTGCTGGCAAAGACACCAGGCTGGACTCGGGGAGTGTAATCTGAGACAGTGCAGCATCGCAGACTGAGACAACCTGTTCTAGCAATGACTCCAGTTCCCTGGGAATTGTGAAGCAATATTCCAGAAGTGTTTGGCAAAGCAATTCCCTTTTCTGCCCGGAAAAACAGCACAGAAGAGGAAAGCCAGATCTGGACACATTCCAAGTACCAAATACGTTTCTTCTTGCCCCAGTGACTCCCAACCATTTAAGGGATTCCTTTACTCTTTTTAAAGAAGAAAAAAAATCAGCCGTCTTAAATAAGAATCTTTGTGTGTGTGAAAGCGTCCCCTAGCTCAATTATAACGGCTCCTGCCTGTCATACTTGTAATGAGATGGGTTAGCTCTGCCACGGATAATTGAAGATTGTCTCGTTTGGCCGGCCTCTGTTTGTTGCAGCAAAAGGACAACAGAAACTACACTTTGACTATAACTGGATGTGTTGTTTTTTTTTTCATGCAGCTTTGCTCTTGTGTTCTCATGGCAAACTACGTGTTTCGTAAGATCTCTTTTGGCAGGAAAACAACAACAACACCACCATCTTCTTTGTTAGGGAGCTGTCTTTGCCCAGCAGGACCAGAATGGTTTAGGTACCAAGTCAACTCATTTTCACTGCTGTTTGTTTGTTAAATTAGCTATCCCATCACAGGGTGGTTTCCCACGTTGAAATCTGACTCAGGCCTGCGATTGCTTCATCAGCAATAGCCACTGTGCTGATGTGTTAAAATTTCTTTCTATAGATCTAATACGTAAGGGAGGACTCTCTAAGGGATACACCTTGCGTGTGTGTCTTCTTCAGTGTTTTCCTGAAATGGCCATTTTCACCACGATTGAACTCTTCTCAAACCTTCACTGACCTGCGCTGTGACTCTTGCACCTCTGCACCCAAGTGAAATCAGTCTGTGACTGGGGACTCACAGGCACCAGGATACATTTTATGCTAATGAAAAGGGGCAGAACTAAAACAGTGAGAAACGCAGTGAAGCCGGGATGTTATACTTCAAGCATTATATCGCGGAACTGTTTTTTGTTTGTTTTTTCCCTTTTAAAGTGATCATAGAGCATTTATCGTTTGTGGTCGTGTTATTAACTGGTGGGCGCTGTGGACAAAACACAGCGAACCTGGAATATCCCAACAGGACAGAGATCGAGCTTCAGAAAGGAGATTTACGCAGTTTACGCAAACTATATCTATTTAGGTGAAAGATACAGACATTTTCTTACTTCCATAGATTTCAGCACGTGGGTGGCTCAGTGGTTCGTGCCTGCCTCCCCCCCTCTTGTGGATACTGGGCCCCTGTAATACCAGTCCAAAAGCAGACTCGCGCTCCCCAGGTCGCTACGGCAACCAGCCGCGTTTCCATGCGGTCTGAAACACCAGTGCCGTATGAACTCGTTATGGGCGATTATCAATACCCCCTGCCCGTAATTATCAGGTACTCGCCTGGTCACTCTGGGTTTATTAAGCCCTGCCTGTACTCTTCACCGACGCGCGGTCATTGGGTTTGCCTCCCTGCAGTCAAACGCCTTTCTTTGCCTCGCTTTGCTCAGCTTTGCTCCTGCCTTGCTTCAGTGTGCTCTCCCTGCTCTTGTCCTCGACGCTTCTCTCTGGCCCCTCAGCTTGCTGTCCACTCAAGAGCCCTGCGAGGGGATCCAGCCTTCAGCACTGTGACCTCTGCCCTCTTGAGGACAGTGTGCGTCATTACAGCCCCTGCCAGACTGGTGCATGTTGTCCACCTGGGTTTCCTGGTGTTCCGTGTTTCCACCTTCCAAATCCATGCTTGGACAGGTGCACCCTTAAATGGACTGGCACCACATCAAAGATATAGTCCCACCTTGTGCCCTTTGTTTCTGGGGTAGGCTCTGGGTTACCAGATCTCCCTTGTCAAGGTAATTTTTTATCATGTGCGTTTGACGTGTGTGCCCCTTCCACTGCAGAGTCAAGAGCATGGATGCTGAACCAATGACACAGACAAGATCATAAGTAACCCATAAACAGAAGAACATGGCTGCAGCTATCCCTCAGATATTCTCGTCCTTAGGTTTGCAGAACACACGCACAACAAATAGCAAAATACCTGTCGTTTTCTTGTTCTTGTGCCAGAGATGCTAATCTGTGGCCCATGATTGGGTGGTAGGTTCAGCCGAAATTGAGATTCTTATCTAAACTACATTCCTCAGAAAGCTGTGGAGAGTGACCTGCCATCCTCGGTCACCTGACCCAGATGGTGGAAGACAATTGGTCGGGTGACAGGTTAAAAACCAGGAAGCTGAGACTTCCCAGGTTGGTCAATTATCTGCTGTGTGGAAACAGAAGGTAGCTCTGTGGGGTGGGAGAGAGAGAGAAGGGAGAAACTGACTGACTGACGGAGTCCCCAAGTGAGCAAATGAATAGTGGCCCGTTTAAGTTTCTACACGTGAGTTTTGAAAAGTGTCTCGCAACAAGCCGGTAAGCAGCTTAGCTGTCTGGCTGGCTAGAGGAGGAATGGAGGGAGGAGAAGCTCATTAAGGAGCTTAGGGTTTTGTTTGAGTTTTTGGAACTCGTTTCCCTTGCACTGCAAATAAAACAGCACAAACTCTTTATCTTATGGCTGTATTGGGTGTCTATAAGACGCCTGAGAAAAGGTACTTCCTGTTGATAACACCCCAGGCCAGGATGTCTCGCATATCTCCACTGGACATTGAGCACTCCCTGCAGTTTTTAGAAACATCGGAAGCAGCTCGCTTTGCGACCACTGCCATGTTTTGAAACTTTCTCTGCTCTCAGACCGCCAGTGGCAAAGACCGGCATAATGCTGTGGATCCGTCTTGGCCCACGACAAATGATAAAAGAAGAGACACCCCTCGTTAAATATTACTGTGTCATACAGGAGAAAAATCGAATTTCAAAAACAGTAAAAAAGCAACGTCGATCTATAAATGTGTGCAATTCAGCTGATCACACAGACCATGCAGTTACCCTCTCTCAAGAGTCGTCTAAAGCATAAAGATGACAGCCTGTCCTTTTATATCACTTTATACCTCTTCACCCACCGCTGATGGGCAGCTCCCACCTGGGTGACGTTCTGTGTCGGCACCCCAGTTTCCCCCAATTTCACTTGCTCCCCCTGTATTCACCAGTCGAATAAAATGGTTTCTTTGTGGAGGCCAGATTTCACAGAGTGGAATTTAAAGAGCATACAGGAATTAACACCCCTGCAATTAAGAGAAGCCCCAAGGGGTCTTTTCTGACCAAGTAAAAAAGATCTCCGTTTCCCATCCCAACTGAAGGACAGCTGTCCCTGGTCACCATACTGGGGTATTGGACTAGAAACGCTGATTTAGGCAGAACAGAAGGTGTCCCTTAAAAGAGGACAAGGACCAGATTAACAGATCCCAAGAGTCTGTTTGCAGCCTGTGCATGTTTTTGCAATAAAATATATCTTGACAAACATGTTTTTTTTTCAAGAGCTGTGGGCTCTGGAAGTACCTGTTTGTTCTACTGCTGAATGAGGCATAAGCAAAGAAAGGTTACTATATCCCATTCCTCGTCCGCGCTTGTGTTTCGTGTGACAGAGAGGGTGGAGCACAGCAAACACACTGGACTGGAGTGTCTAGAGTTTGGGTTACAGACTGGAGGTCACTATGGGCCAGGAGCAGGAACCACCAGGCACAGTTCGCCACCTGGTGTTCTCATGTGGAAAAGCATGAGAAAACTGATGGTAACACTGGAAACCACATTTGTGGACGTATCTCTACTAGATCATAATATGCAGATAGTAAATCGATGGCATTAAATTAAGGTCTTATTGATATATCCTGAATATAGAATGGAGTAGGGTTTCTAACTAAAACAAGCAAAGTTGTCTTTATTAATTACAGCAGGTGTGAGCCTGGTCAGTACCTGGATGGTAGACCTCCTGGAAAAGCCAAGGTTGCTGTTGGAAGAGGTGTTATTGGGGCCAGTAGAGGGCGCTCACCCTGCGGTCTGTGTGAGTCCTAATGCCCAAGTATAGTGATGGGGGAATTATATTGTAAAAGGCGCCGTCTTTAGGATGAGATGTAAAACCGAGGTCCTGACTATCTGTGGTCATTAAAAATCCCAGGGCGTTTCTCAAACAGATTCCTTGGCAAATTTCCCCCTGGCCTTTACCAATCCTGGCCTCCTAATAATCCCCATCTCTGAACTGGCTTCATCACTCTGCTCTCCTCCCCACTGAGAGCTGGTGTGTGGGGAGAGTAGTGGAGCATCATCCAGGTGGGGCTGGTCCAATCGAGGTGGATCTCGGATTTCGTCTCATGCTCGTTTTTCTTTTTTCTTTTCCCTTTTCCAACGTGCTCGCTCAGAGTCCCCCAGGTCGGCGGCGGCCTTCAGCAGCCTGGTGATCGGGATCGTGGCGGGAGTGGCGGGGGTGCTGCTGGTCACCATGGTGATCGCGGTGGTGCTGGTCAACCGGTACTACAAGCGCAAGAACAAGAAGCTGGAGACGGAGCTGAACGTGAAAACGTGAGTGTGCTGCCTTCGACATGCCTCGCATTTCAGGACAGAGATGCTAAAAGGTCCCTGAATTTCACAAATAAGAGTTCTTGATGGCTGGAACTGTCCTCAGTGCTTTATTAGGTGTAATAAATGTGAAGTAAAGAAGTACAATAGTGCAACCTATTAAAATAAGAAATATAGTGTGGTATGGAGAGGGTAATATAGAAGATCCGTATTTTATAAGCCCGAATTCAGTAGTCCATTTAGATCCTAAGGAATGAGATAGGGGGATGAAATTTGTAGAGAATACTTGGCATAACTCTTCTTACTTTATTGTCCCAGATGGGAAATTTGCTCTGCAGGTAAAGGACACAACACGAGGCACACAACATTCAACACAACATAAACCCATTAACCCACAAGACACATACATGTGTGATGACAGAGAAAATAAATATATATAAATATAGCAAAATATACAGTCAATTGTCCAAAATGAGCAGGTTAATTGCTGTGGGAATATAAGATGACAGTTCTGTTGCTCTTGAATATTGTCAATACCCAGCTGGAAGGAGGTCAATACTCCTAAGAGTCCCTCCTAGCTATGGGAATGGCAGGCTATTGTGAGGAATGAGCCAGGGAGCTGCTACAAGGGTGTGGATGGAGTAGCTGTAGGGTTGCAAAGTTTGTCCCAGGAAGTACAAGATTTATAGACACAGGGAAGTGGAGGCTTGCAACACTAGGATCCCATCTTCCTCTTGAACTCTGGTTCTAAACACCTTCTGAAAAAATCAAATGTAAGTCACAGTAAAAATCAAAAATGATCAAAAACTCTTGTTTAGTAGGGTAGAACAGTGCTGGTGATGAATTGTTAGTCTCAAGACCAATTGAAATAGCTTCTGCCGTGCAGTGCTCTTCAAACGCAACCCTTTCCCTCCTCTGCCTTAGTCCAGAACACGCAATTTATCTCTCGTCATCCAGACAAAACCAGCAAACCATCTGGGAGTGTCTAAAACATGTTGGTGTTACCCTGCTTTTGAAGCACAATTACAATGCAGTTTAGTCATTTATTGTCACTGCCACCCCTGCCAACAGCTGGGGAACACAAACGTTTCTTTACTTAGTCTCTCTCTCAAAATCGGCTGCTCTTTCCCACCTTAACTCTCTCCCTCCCGTTCTCTCCAATTTCTTTGCTCCCTCCTCCCTCTGGGTTTCTTCCTCTCAGGGAAGAGATCAATACCCTGTCAAGACAGGCTTCGTTCCGCAGGCTGAACTCTGTCAACATCGACCCCAGGACACAGGTAAGCACGCTCCTCTGTCTGCATTAGAAACACATGTCTGATTTTGAGGACCTGTTTATACCCGACTTGACAAAAAATGTCAGATTCTGGACTGCATTTGCACATTGTGAGTCCGTCTTGGTTAGTGTGTCTAAGTAGCTTTGAACAGCAATGGGAACTTGGGTAAAGAAGGGGAAAAACAACCTGACTATTTAAAGGGGAACTGAGGGTATCGCACAGTGCACTAATTCCAAATTAAGCACAAAATTGGGAACTTTGTGAAAGTACTGTATGGTCACCATTTTGTCGCAAATTGAGCTCTCCCGAATTGTGACATGACACGGCCCTTCCAACGTGATCTGTGTGCAGAGTTAAGTAGAAGTTTTTGGCAAAGTAGCCTCAAAGTCAAGAGCAACACCATCTCGAAGTTGATGCCAATTTTTCTCTTGGATTAAAAGAGATGGATTCACAATCCTGCTTGTGTACAATGTCTTAGGGTCGCTTCACCTCACCGGATGTTTTGTTGCCTTGTTCTGAATCACAGCATATTGTGCCCTGCATACCTGGAAATTTTTACATTGCTGTGTACATTTTACTTACACCTAAACACTTAGAATACTTATTAAATACACTTATCAGTGCCGATTTTTTCTAACCCCATACTATATTGTAAGATATAAAAACAGTATTGCAGCTCCCCTTTAATCTTGCTCAGACGAGATCTTGTTTTGTTGTCCCCTAGTGGCCAAAGTGAAAACAGATCGCACGTTGAGAGAAATACTAAATCTGGCAGACAGCCCAAGGTCTGAGTTGGCTCAGAAAGTGGACCTGGCACTGAACAGCACATGCGCGTGACCTCCCAGAAGTAGATTCTACATGAAGATTTTGACAGTTGCTCGAGATTATCCACAGTTCATCGAGAGCCATTGCTCAAAGCCTTTTCTGCCTCTGGCAATACGGACAGCCCTCTGTGCTCCATCTCAGATGGTAACTCTCTGCCTTTCCTCACGCAGACAGAAGAAAACATCCCCCTCAGGACTGAAGGCACGATGCGAAACAGCCTGTCTTCTCTCGGGGTAAGCTTCAGAGTTTCCCAATCATCTGTAGCTAACGGTCATTGCACAGAGAGAGGAAAAAGCAGTGTGTGGAGAGCACAGCAAAATGATAATTCCTGAACACTTATATAGCACTTTTCTGGACACTCCACTCAAGGCGGTTTACAGGTGATGGGGATCCCCACCACCACCACCAGTGTGCAGCCCCACCTGGATGATGCTCCAGTACTCTCATCACACACCAGCTCTCAGTGGGGAGGAGAGCAGAGTGATGAAGCCAGTTCAGAGATGGGGATTATTAGGAGGCCATGATTGGTAAAGACCAGGGGGAATTTGGTCAGGACAGCATGGGTGACACCCCTACTCTTTTCGAGAAACACCCTGGGATTTTAATGACCACAGAGAGTCAGGACCTCGATTAAAGCTCATCTGAAGGATGGCACCTTTATACAGTACAGTAAATGGCCTTCTTTTGTTTTGCAACTGGTCTTTAACAGCTGGATGAGCTCCTAAGCTAGTAAAAAAACTAACGAGCTACAACAGCTGAAAGGTTTCACAAGATTTCTTTTGTTCTTAACCCACTGAAGGAGATCCTCAAAACAATCACTGCAATCCAAACCAGCCAGAAGGGCTGAATGGCTGAATCCTTATTTAGAACATTTCCCTATGTTCTTAAACAGCTGAATGAGATCCGCCACTAAAACTAATAAACTAGAAGGGCCATTTTATTGCAGACATTCTAATTTTCAAATCTTCATCAGGTTGTTGACAGTAGCTTTGTTATTTGTCATTGTATTCTTTGGTTCTGAAATATTTGTCCATTTCTGACATCTGTTTTATGAGCGGCACCCTTTATTTGTGAGTGCAGCATAATAATAATATTATTATTATTAATAATAATAATAATAATAATAATAATAATAATAATAATAATTCCTGAGCACTTATGCAACATATTTCTGGACACTACACTCAAAATGCTTTCCTGGTAATGGGGACTACCCTCCACCACCACCAGTGTGCAGGGCTGATCTCATTCAGTTGAGCCTGTGGCTGGAAGGTTACCGATTCATATCCCGTGGCCGGCAAAGAAATCCTACTCCATTGGGCCCCTGAGCAAGGCCCTTAACCCCAACTGCTCCAGGGGCGCCTTAAAAATGGCTGACCCTGCGCTCTGACCCCAAGCTTCTCAAGCTTCCCTGTCTGTGTGTCTCATGGAGAGCAAGCCGGGGTATGCAAAAAGACAAATTCCTAATACAAGAAATTGTATATGGCTAATAAAGTGATCTTATCTTATTTAATCGAACATTACAGGTGTTGATCTGAAGACTGAGCATTTTTCAATGGATAGAGCAGACCTCCATGCAGCGTACCTAAAAAGGCAGTAATCTCTAGATTACTTTATAATTTGATTTGAATAGTAAGGAAATTATGTCATGAACTTGGAGCCAAATGTGATTCATTTAATAACAGGTCCAAAACACAGTTTGACATCACTGACAGGATTAGCAGGGCTAAGAATTTAAGAAGCCTTCAATGTAGGATTAGGTTTATTACTTTAATAGCACATAATAGTGCCTACCTGCCTTACATTACAACACCAAATATCTAAGTGGAACCTATGTACCCATCAGGTATGCAATACATAGAATTGCTCACAGGAAGTAGTTTTGTTAAAAATATTTTGTAAGGAGCTTTTACAAGATGAGAGAAAGCATCAAAAAAAGATATCAAACAAATTTCTTTCTAAGTTTGTTAGAGGTGTAGAATTTACACTCAATCCCTTGTTCCTGTATGAACAAGCCAAGCCACAGTTTCTTATTTTTTTGCAGTCCCACTAAGACCGTCATTGTTTCATTCACTTCCTCCGAGAGATTTTGTTTTCAAACACAGATCGTCAAACTTAAAGATGTTTAAAAGACCCAGATTTTAGAGGACACTGTTCACCCATGTTCCAGCAAAATTAAGACTGACAGAGCTCATGACAAACATCTATAAAAATGATTCACCCTTCCAAACTATAGGAGGTTGATATCTTGTTTCGAATCCAAGAAAATTGAAAAATACAGAGCCTTTTGCATTTCTGCTTGGGTTATGAAATAAACCCCTGCAGAGAGCCAGATAAGTCAATCATTTTGAAACAAAAAAAAAAGTTTGAGAACATTATAACACACCCTATCCCTGACTAAAGCAGTACTAAGAATCTGCATGCATAAGAACTCTTAATGACCACCAAAGTGAAGTACAGGAAGATTTCCTGTATGCCTTTTTAGGATATCACAAACAAAACCACACTCAAAATTTCTCTGAAACCGCAAACCCTCCCCAATATACTCTCTTATATTCCAAACACAAAGCCTAATTACTCTCATGTGAGAATGTGCAGGAACAGCCCTCACCACTAATCTAATCATACACCTATTACCTGCTGTGTGGCTATTTACAAGAATACAGGCCCTAGAGTGACCTCTGGTGGCAGATGAGCTGCAACTGCAGCCCCTTCAGAAAATGACATCTGATCAAGCAAACGGCCTCAGTAATTAATTAAACTGTAATGAAAGGATCCAAGATTGAGAATGGCATGTCAGAAATGACTAGTTTGGTGGCAGATGTATTACTGCCCATAATTGTCTCCTTAATCCACAAAGTGAGGTACAGGCCACTGCACAGTGCAACACAGATTATTATTATTATTATTATTATTATTATTATTATTATTATTATTATTATTATTAATAATAATAATAATAATAATAACAATAATTGGTTACACTTATATAGCGCTTTTCTGGACACTCCACTCAAAGCGCTTTACAGGTAATGGAGATGCCCTCCACCACCACCAATATGCAGCCCCACCTGGATGTTCACAATGTGGCAGCAGTATCAAACCAAAGGTTATGCATGTCAGAAGTGAGAACATTGATTTTAGCTGTTGAAATAGTTTGTGCAAATATAAACATTAAGCAGTAAATCAGAAGTGTCAAAACCTTCAAGAAACATGAATTTAGCATACCTGGGGTGTTGTTGTTGTGTACTGTCTCTGCAGTATACATTTTCAGAATTGCGTAGTTCTGGGCATTTTTTCAGTTCACTTGTCAGTTTAGTCCATTGCTATGGGTGGTTGTATTTGTGAGTGAGAGAAGCTCAGTTCTCTTGATTCTTAGAGCTATGCCTTTCTTGGTGGATATTAACATGGCATATGTAAAGATCATTCTGGGAGAAACAAGGAATTTCTCCTTCACACTGCAGGAAAATTGTGGTACACTATAAAGCAAATGAACAAATGAAAAAAGCTGTTATCCTCTGTTCCGGATCTCAGGAAAGTGAATGATATTCAAAGTGTTCATTGAAGTCCACCAAGGACACCACGATGTACTTTTCAGAAAGATCAATGAAACACGAATGAGTGGACACACCTGGAAACTACCGTATATGGAAGTGCATTTGAAACTAAGATCAGATGGTACTTTTACCCCAAGAGTTGTGGGAGAATGGAACAAGCTGAGTAGATGAAGTCAATACCCAGGCCTCTGAAAGAAAGCACCTGAGTGAAATCTTCAGATCAATTAGCTATGAAAAGGAACTAGACAGACAGAATGGTCTATGATTGTTTGTGACCTCTTTATGATAATAAGTGATAATAAGTGATAAGTTTTTGGGTGTTGTGTAAGGTACATCAATGTGTTTGTCAAGGCAGACAGAGCCTAATTTTAGTACATCAAGAAATTAGTGCTTTAGATGTCTTACACACGGGCAGCATGGTGGCACAGTGTTTAGCATTGCTGCCTCACAGTGCTGGGGCTCCGGGTTCAATTCCTGGGGTTCTATCTGTGTGGAGTTTGCATGTTCTCACCTAGTTTGTGTGAGTTTCTTCTGGGTGCTCTAGTGGTCTTTCACAGTCCAAAGACATACAGGTAGGTGAATTGGCTTCTGGGAAAACTGGTCCTGGTGTGTGTTTGCAATGGACTGGTGTCCTGCCCAGGGTGTATCCTGCCTCAGGCCCACAGCTTGCTGGGATAGGCTCCAGCATCCCCAGTGACCCTGTATTGGACAAAGTGGACAGAAAATAGATGCATTGGTAGGAGGGTTGTCGTACACACCCAGGGCCTGACTCTTAATTGGCGGGGCACTGTCAGACCTGGATGGTATAGCGAGGTTTGGGTTAGCGAAGGACTGTCCTCGGTTTTTCGACGAGCCCGCGTTGGCCGGACATCATCAGTACGAGCTGTGTGTCCGTCCTCCAGCCGGCACTGAAAGTTCTGCTGCCTGTGTTTCAGGACCGTGGCTCGAAAAGAGGAGGGTGGCCTGTGGAGATCCCCGGCGAGGGCAACTACACGCTGTCTTCAACGGGAGAGGCCGTGGTAAGGTCTGAGTCCGGGTGACCGTGCGGGAAAGGGAAAAGAGGCGCGAGTGTTTTAAACAAGGTCCCACTTAGCTCGGCCGGTAACGATGGGACGACACGGCGTCGCCTCTCCGAGATCACTGGTCCAAATCCGCGCTGTTCCGTTGGGACAGAAGCAGTGGGGAGTTCCAAGGGCGACTGGACAGGTGTTAAAGAGGCGTGGTGTGCTGGGATCACAGCATGCCTTGACTTGCACTACTTTCTCATCTCTCTGCTCGTCAGAGTCCTGCGGGCTTATGTCTGTCTCAAGTGAAATAAGGGACGATTCTCCACCTGACTCCATAGTCAGTTGATCCTTGCTTATCATTGACAATGTGAGACTGACAATCTGCGGTAATCTGCATGACTCCTGCTTAAAGCTTTTACAGCTGCTAAGGCAAATGACCTTTGCACATGCCCAACCTACCACTGGTTTCTTTGGAAAAGACCTTGATCTCCAGGTTGAGTTCCTTTGCTTTCTCCTCCACACACCTCATATAAGGATCGTCTGCAATCGCAGTAGTTCTTATCAAGATAAACAGGAAAGGTTAAAAAAAAGGAAATAAACAATTCCAAACATTTTACACCGAACATCGAGGTAGCCGGGAACTAGTAACGCATAGCTCTGATGCCTATTTTCCTCACTAATTTGCCTTGAAATGTTATCATTGTTTACTGCCCCCTAATGAGAAAAAAAAATCAATACAGCATAAATAGGACCGTTTTATACAAAAAAAAAAACCACACTGAAAAATCTGATACAGGTGGCTTTAGAAGGAAATCCAACTATGAGGATGTTGTGTTCCATTCAGTCATCTAGGCCTCAAGCTGTTCTCCCCCCTGCTCTCTGGCAAGCAGTACTGCACCCCTAAAGCCCAGATCACTGGGCTTAAAAACAGTTTCCAACCTAAGGCTGTCCGAATCATAAACAGCTACATGTAATGCCTCAGAACTCTGTGCGTCTGCACTCTGCACTTTTTGCACATTTTTTTTCACTACTACACATTTATTGTTCTCCCCAACATCCTTACCATTCTGGTTCTATCATTCATTACGTTGTAATGTTCTGTCTACATTGTGTGGCATTGTCCATTGTACTGTGTATGTCCTGAGAGATTGGAGGAAAAAGGAATTCCAATGTACACGTACTGTACATACGGCACTAAACGCCTCTACTCCTCTACTCGTTTTCCTTTTGGCTACCAAGTACAAGCCTTTGTTGTAGCATAAATCTCTTAAAAGGAGTGTGACAATGCACGCTTTGTTATTGCAAAAATGTGTAAAGGTTTGTAAATTCAGAAATCAAGGGATGATTTAAACCATATCCCCCCCAAAAAAAAAAAAATCATCAACAAATTATTCCTTGCTGTAAAGAAATGAAAAGAAACATGATGTTTCGGCTGTGGAGCCTTCCACGCCCGAAGAAGGCTCCACAGCAGAAACATTGTGTTTCTTTTCTTCTCGTTTCAGCACGGAATAAACCTTTACTTGTTCCTTTGCAGCCTGCGCATGCTGACGCAGCTCCCATCTCAGACTATCTTTATCAACATGTGGGGCCAAACAGGGCATGCTCATTGTAACTTTCCTGGCCAGCCGTTCCTTCGACCCAGGCTGAAGGCTTTTATTTTCCCAATTCCGAGCGGGTGTAGAAAGACACAAATCTCCCTGCCCTTTCCAGGATCACCCCCCCAGGTCCCGGGACAGCCGCTCCACCATGTCCGCGGGACGAGGCAGCGCGGACTATTTTACCCGCGGGCACTCCAGCCCCTTCAGGCGCAGCGAACGGGGACGGGGAGACCCCGAGGAGGACAGGGATGGCGACAGGGAGCTGGAGGAGAACAGCCTGAACTCCCGGCTCAGGGTAGAGTCCTTCGTGAGGAACAGCAACAGGTCTCTGGTGAGAAAACAGCTGGAGAGTGGGGGTCCAGGAGGGTCAACAGAACGACCCGTTATTGGGTGTGGGGTGTGGTTAAATTAAAACACTGCTTCTGTGTATTTATTGCAAACAATAAAAATTTATTACATTTATATATGACGTTTTAAAAAAAATAGAAACGACCTTTGCCTCAAAAGTGTTGCCATCTTAAAATAATCAATAGAATCTTCAGCATGCGTTATGTGCTGCTTTTGAGATAAGCAACATGCTTTTGAGATTAGCAAAAAAAAAGTACTTTGGATGTTTTCTGGCCCTTTTGAGCCCGCAGAATATGTTTTGGCATTTTAATTAGCTGTAAGCGATGCCTTTCTCTGGCTTTGTAGACTATAAAATCTGTTGCTTGATTAATGTTTTTCCCCCCATCTACAAAACAATTTCTGGGGCTGTCTAGCCAAGCGGTTAAGTCTCTGGAGTCGTAATGGGTAGGTTATGGGTTCGAGTCCCTGTTGCAGACACCGCTGTTGTACCTTGAGTGAGGTGCTGTAGCCCAGTTGCTCCAATTTACTCAGCTGTGTGAGTGGGGACCAGCAGTGTTGGGAGTATCTAGTGCAATGGACTGATAGCATGTTAAGCTCTCTAGTCTGCTCAACAGCACAGAAAACAGGATAAGCTCTTGCCTGATGAGCTCATCGATGTAGTCAATGTAGGTTGACTACAGATATTACATCCCCTGAGACAGTTAGCCATTGGTTACAATATCATAGTCATGTCAGGAAGTGTCTATTGGATTGAGTGTACATGACTCTTTCCTTAAAGGGGAGCTGCAGCACTATTTTAATATTTCGGGGTTAGAGAGAATCTGCATTGATGAGTGCAGTTCACAATAATAGTTAAATGTTCAAAGCGACTTGTAAAAACTCCAATTTCCACCACAAAATAAAGGAAATTTCCAGGTCTGCGAGGCGCCAGAGTCTGCGATTCAGAACGAGGCAACAAAACGTCCAATGAGGTGATGAGGCCTTATGACATTGTAAACAAGCAGGCTTGTGAATCCGTCTCTTTTAATCCAGCAGAAATATTGCTGTCGACTTCCAGATGGTTTTGATGACAGACACTACTTACTTGTTAACTCTGCCTGCAGGTCACGCTGCAACATTTCTGCAGTGAAACGTCTGCTGCACAACCTGGACTTATTCCCTCGCACGTCTCACTACTTTTAGTTTACTTTAATCATTGAGGCGTCACAGTGACTAGTGAGCAGGAAGAGCCGCATCACGTCTCGCGTGAATTCTCACTCTCGCCCGTGGCGAGATCAGGGGTTTGCGACAACAGGAAGACTTCACAAAAAGTCCACAATTCTGTGCGGCATTTGACATTTTTAAAATGTTTCTATACCACTTATTAATTTGTTTTGTTACAGAGATTTAATAACCGTTCTGAGAAATTGGGACTGACGCCCCCCTTCAATCTGAGCTGTCTCTCTTCTCACCCTTTATCCTCCGGTCATTTTCCCTCTCTCCTGTAGGCAGTCGTTTCCCCTGCCCTGAGAGTCTACGAGCCCTATCTCTCCCGCCCATCTCAGTCTCTTCTCTTTTTGTCCCAGGAGTCGCAGCTCCACCCTCCTCTCCACCCCTCCCTCCTCGCCGTGGAGCGCTGCGAGCAGGTGAAGCCCCTGAACGGCACCCTGTTGTCCCGGGGCGGCAGCAGCCCCGACCACGGCCTCCCGTACGACGACATGAGCGAGGAGGGCGAGCTCGACAAGGACAGCGAGACGGCCAGCTCCCTGCTCTCCGACGCCATGACCAACCACTTCCAGATCACCAACGGCACGTTGAAACCCAAGCCCAACTCCAACGGCATCCTCATCCACCCCAAGGGGCAGATGGTGTGAAGGTGGAGCGGGAGGAAAGGAACACTGTCCTTTCTGGAGCGCCCCCTACGAGGCTCGGCGGTGGAACTGCAGGGTTTTTATAATGTGTAAATAATATGACCTATATGGGAGAGGGAGAAACTGACAATAAAGTGCTGCAAAAGACAGAACAACGATGGAGACAATCCAAGGAACTTCTAAAAGGAGAGAATAAGGGAAATTTCTTACCACATAAGCTGTCATACTGCAGTATTGCCTGTTGAAACGGCACTAGGCTCTCGTCTAACCCTGTTGAAGGGGAGTTCCCTTCTAGAAAACTCTTGTCACTCCTCCCCCAGGACCTTGCATGACTGTCAAGGCAACACAGAGAGGCTGTGCTTTGGTGTGAAAAATCAAATCCCGCACCACATTCCACCCCTGTAAATGCACGGGAACGGTTATATCCAGGACCAGTGTTCCTTCGGCATGGCCTTTCCCCCAAATCAAGATGCAGCACCGACTCAGGGATCTGTATCCCTTCTCAGCCCAGACACTGGAAAGGAGGGGATTACGGTTGTCATCCTCTCTGGGATCGAGAGAGGCATCTAAAGGAGATGCACAGTGAAGGCGGCACAGCAACCGAGGAGAGTCCCTTCCCCAGTGAGCGGATTGAGAAAGATCTAATGGACGATGTGGATTTGAACCCGTACACCCGGTTGTCTCAGCCAGCCAGCGCCTCTTTGTTCCGAAATGGACTTCCTTTCAGAATCTGGGAGGGAACCCACATACACTGGAGTGCATCCCGTTCTTGAACAAATGCTGGAAGAGGATTTTTTTCTTCATCACTAGCTTTTTGCATCTTAAGGAATTTCAGTGGATTCCCAATTCCTGTGTTGTTTTTTAAAGAAAGCCCTATCATGGTCAAACCTGGACCTGGATCGGATACTTTCGTCGTATCGCTGTCGTTATGCTACCCACCACCCAGTGCCTGTTCGTCTACTTTTTCCTCAGTGAAAGAACACTGTTTATTGTTGGCAACATATTAGAGAAAGGACTCTTAATGTTTAAATACGGCATCCTATATCTACTGTTTGAACTTGAATAGCTCATTTGCAGTTTTGAGGGGGGGAAATGGTTCTTTGCAGATTAAAATATATTATTAAGCTGTGAAGTCTTAGATGCGAACATTTTGTGTGCCCTTAACGTATAGTTTGCATCAGGCACCAACAACGCAATGTGTTCGGTGATTAGAAATGTATTTATTGTGTTTCTGATGGTCACTTTTCACTTCCACGCAAGACATTATAAAGACGTGGCTTTAACATTTGATAACAGAATGATCACAGATACTTCAACACTCCCAGTTAAACTGAAAGATCTGTCAAAATATATTATAAAATACACGACTAGATCGAGTCTTAGTACCTGAAAATGTGACATCAATTTTTAAGGAATTGTAACTTGAATCGGAGTAGTAGGAAATCCGATGTCAAACCACTTTTAACTTTCACGCTGCTTGGCTTCTGATGATGTCACCAGGGGACGGAACAAACGTAGCCAATCAAACACCGGAAGCAAGTCATGTGATCGCAGAAAATGAGGGGCTAAGTGCCGCAGTTCAGGACCAAGTCCGTTGAGTTGTGAGCGATGTTCTGTGTTAGTCGCAGCTTGCGATCAATTCAGTGTTCAAGAATATTAAGCTGCAACGTCTTTCCCCAACATCTAACATAGCTGTTCACAGCATGCATTCACATGCATCTGACAACACTAGAGTACTATTTGGAGCCAACGATACCTGTACAAATATAGTATTTAATTCTTCCCGTCTAAGCCGAGCTGTTCATGTGGGGTTTATGGTGACGTGTGTTTTATAAATAGTAACCTGTTGTTTTTTGTCTCAGTAACAAAGTAAGAAAGATAAAGGTTTTTGTTTTATGTGTCTGCACGTCTCCCCCAGCATTGTTGTACGGACAATGGCAGCATTCAGATGTTAAACTATTCGAAGGTTCACTTCCGAGCTCATTGCGTCCTGTCTAGTTAGGTGCGGCGGAAGAACGGGCGTGTGCCAAGTTTAATCACCAGGCTGTGCAATGGCGGTTTACTGTTTATCTTTAATAACCTATTTATCTTGCCTTCCACCGTTGTAGTAATGGTCTGCCGTAGGGCAACTGCAGAGCCCCGGGCTTCCACAAGGTGGCGCAGTCTTCCAAAACTATGACCAATGATCAAGCGGCCTCAAGTTCCCAGCAACTCACGTTACTCTTGGTTTTACAGTGCTGTTGATATGCCGAATGGGTCGGGGACGAGTATACTGATGTAAAAAGAACGAGGAACTTTTTTTTCGGCTTTTATTTTTTTTTGTACATTCCTGCCTGACTCGTCTCTGTACATAGATTGTTCTTTTTCTACAGCAGAATTAATTTCTACGAGCAGGTCCTATACATATTGTACTATAAGTTGTGCGTTGAAAAAAAAATGGATGTTATTTTAAAATAAAGAAGAGAAACAAACACAGGACTGGATTCGGACGTTCAGTTTTTCACACTTTTTTGCAGACTAGTATTTCGGAGGCGGGCGTCTGCTGTCGTTGTGTCTCACGTTGCTTGTTGCGGTGATGGGGGTGAGGGGCGTCGTGTTGATCTAACTGTGGTCAGTTGGTTTTTTTCCCCAAACAGCTGGCCAACGCAATGTCAGCTTCGACTGTTGATGGTGGTCATTTACAGAGGTAACTCGGCTCCATCTTTCTTCAATAGAAACATCAGTTAAGGAGACCGCTGTGATGGCCCGGGTGACTAGAATACACTTTTTTTTCTGTCCCCTTGCGAGCCAGGGAGATGAACAACGCGATTTTATTTCTTATTATACCAAACACCCACAAAGAAATACTCGTGTTTTGCTTAGTCCTGTTTAGTGGTCAGCACCCTGTGAGTGGTTGTGCAGAACACCTTGCTAACAATTCGGTTTCAACGGTGCTCTTTGGGTTTCTCCAATACAGCTTAAAACTTAACACATAAATCGCAAAGACAGCCATAAATAACACATAAGATGAAGGATCCCCAATCCTAGTCCTAGCGTGTTGGTGTGTCTACAGGTTTCAGTCCCTAAATAAAACGGCAGAAATGAAACCTGGCGTCCCTTAAACGGCAGTTCTTGCTGAGCTAGGAGCTCGACGTATCGCTTTTTTTCCAGACACATTCCATTCCTCTGAAAGGTTGTTTTCGGTGACCGCGGTGAATTATGGCGTCGCGGCGCCGAAAAAAACTGCGGCAACTCCGACCCCCCGTTTCACGCAGGTCTTGCCGCGGCCGAGGCGACGGACAGGGGGCGCCGCCGCACAGGGAACCGGATTTGCTGCCACTCCCTTCTTTGCGGGTTTTACAGCACGACATCCTGCCTAGCACGCCCACGGCCTCCACAGAAGACTGCAAAGAGCAGGGCGTCTCTTTACAGGCAAACAAAAGAGGAAATGCTCACAACACATGTCGGGCACAGCCAGTAATTAAAATTAAACTGCCGTTGCACAGAAGTTAGGGCAATGACTTGCGGCCATTTTTGAAGTTCACGGTTATTTGTCATTCCAGCCATATACA